AATGACAGACCTTATGATACAATGCGCGGTCTCGCCATGTTAATAATGGTGCAGGACAGAGGTCCTAGCAAGGCACAGCGTATAGTCGTTCGGATGAGACGAAAAACCGAGTTCCTGTATACATAAGCAATATTGCTTACATGTTACTTGTTTTTGTCTCCTTTAGTCTGTATGATTATATATAATTATACTGAATAAAATATTGTTTAAACCCATATTAGCGTGCACGTCATATTTTCTTCATAGCACACTATAAATGACAATCGCCGTAATGCCTGTCTTCATTATCCCAGTCGGAGCAGAATGGTTCCTCCGTTTTGGTTAAGAATTTACTCAATTTTAAATCACTGTTTATGAAAAATATCTTTGATCGATCCAGAAACACTAAACTTTTCACATAGTTTCTTATTGATGTATTTGATACGTTAAAATCACAAACGTTTTATAAAGGGCTATAATTTACTTAAAATAAGGCGAATAATTTTGAGTAAATTCTTAACTTAAAGATACATTATGGGAGATTTTTATAGAGAGTTGGCCATTCTTGCTATAACAGTTCAAAAGTAGATGATGAAAGAAGAATATATTGAAAAATTCAGTCAAATTACTTTATTCTGAACATTATCATCGTTGTAATATTTGCCTAGAAATGGTAGCGAATTGTGTCTTCACCTTCGCTGATCGTTTGATTGACAGGCGTTAACTCCACCTACATATCTCGATTATCAAGTAAAGTTTTCAATGGCATACCGAAACGCTTTACAGCGGCCTCGCTAAGTACACTCTATCATTTAGCCTCGATCTAACTGACGTATTTTCATCAGGTTATCCCTTATTTGATTTAATAAATTAGTGAAATCCTATTTAATTCCGAGCTGTAGCCGAGCCATCCGTGGGTCTACAGAGTTGATTTTGGTCTTGTTTAAATAAAGATCTAATTTATAATTTCTATATCATCTGAAGCCTAAATTAAGACTTGCAATAATCAGATTTAGCTCTTGCATAATGCATGTTTAAGTCTGAGAATGTATTGTAAACTCGGGCCTGGCAAGTCGTGTAGATGGGACGAAACACCGAGGTCTCGTGTATACATTGGCTTGCAAATAAAAGATCCCTTGGCAATTGGTCGTCGTTATAAGAGTAGATCGTAGTGCTGCTGTTCTGGCAAACTATCCCTCAAAGCACATTGCATGGCATAATATGCACGTCTTCACTAGCTCAGTCGGAGCAGAACAGTGGGACGTTAAATTTCATTTCTGTAATGTATACTTTCCACTTGTTTTTATATGATTAATGTGTAAATTTATTTCTCCTTTTCTATCTGTAATGTATTATAACATTATGTCGTTATTGTTTAAAGGGCAAAATGTAAGACAATGCATTTACCATTATCATTTGTGTTATTATCGGGCTATACTATATACCGTAAAACACCGGAAAACACCATTATCATTGGTGTTATTATCCGGTATTCAGTATTTAATGGTGTTTTCCGGTAGTTTTCCGGTATTGTAGTACTATCAGATGTTCAATCTTCAATATTCAATCCTTACGCTGTGTTTTCTTCCGTGACGAAGTTACAACTACAGTTCAGGTTCCTTTTATTAAATATTTTATTTCTACAAACTGGAAGTGTTACAATTCTTCCTAGTTTCAAATAACTAAATGGCTGGTATGACCGGTGGGGTGAGCTCTGCCGAATGCTATTTCCCCACCCTATTTTATAGGTGCCTATTCCTTTGTGTGAGGTGTTAATCTGAAGACTGATAACAACTAAGTTCTAAATATGCAAAGGATATGCACCCAAACTGAACATCGCCAGGGATTGTTCCCTTATTTGTTCGACAAATATGATATATGTTTTATAACAAAGAAATGACCAACATGCTCATTAATCTATAGTTCAGTTAACGTATACTTTCTATATTTGTGGTTATGAAGTTAAAATCAATAATATGAAAGATAACGCTATTGTTCTAGCCATCATATTTCTACATTCTTGTCTTTTGACCCCATGTCTTGTTATTGTCACAATATTCATAACCAACTTTAATTTGCGTTTCAGAATTAACTTATACCATAGCTAATATTTTGACAATGAAAAATAATTAATCAAAACCCTAATATTATTTTACATAGATGTTTCAAAGCACAAATTCTTTCCCTCCATATTACTACAGTATATAGTATTGCCGTTATTATCTGCCTCGGTGTCAGTGTAGGCCTAGCCCTATGATTAGTAGATATAGACCTAAGCAAAAATCATATCAGTACATACATGGTATCGTATTAGCTTTTTCATAAAATAAAATAAAACCATAAGCAGATAAATAGTCATGTCCTGTGGAGTGGGAAATATAATAGGCATAACCCAAAACAGCACAGTGCCACAGTATGTGAGTAGGCCTAGACCTAATATTACAAGTAGTAGATCTGATCGAAAGAATAGCGTAATGCTGCGGACTTGTTCACTTACAGTTCCTAGCTGTTCCTATATAGCAGCAATATGAAAATAAGGCTTTTACCCCACCTCGTTTCTAAGGCTTTTTTGGAATACTTACCGTCTATTTTGCACCTTGATTCTGCTTTTTTCGCCAAAAGGGATTATTTCTTGCCACATCCGACAAAAATAGTGTTGGATTAATATAAATTTGTGTCGGATGTGACAAGGAATCTCTGGGATCGAGATTGTGGTTTCCGGTCAGCTTTTGCTCAAATCAACAAGTGATCAAAACACAACATTCATTCTTTAAACCACTATATCTTAAACATTTATAATTTGGCGTAGTTTTTGACGTGTGAGGTTTCTCAAAAGAAGTGTATGCTGAGAACCAGTTTATATCCAAAACAAAATATGGTATAGCTCGAATCAATGATCCTATCCCACGCTTTGGTCAGTGGAATGTGCCACCTAATTTTCTCAGAGGTTATACAATTTATGTACTTGACTTCTGCATTTGATTTGTTCCCATAATTAGTGCTGACATCATTTCTGACTTATAAGTTCCCTTCTTGTGGCTGGATGACATATATTTGACAGGACTGTAAAACACCCAGAACCTCCTTGTCTTAAACGTACGATCGGTCTGGGACCGTTGTCAAAATTTGACGAAAAACCCCATTGCCCATGTGCAACCGGCAATTTGGTTAGTTATGTGGTTGATTATCTAGCAGAGGTGCGCTCCTTCCCGCAACAAATCCCATAATTCTTGCATTAATATAAACAAACATGAATCGTGACGACGAATTAGGATTAATTTTTAAAAAATGGATATGGCCCATGAAGAGAGAAATTTTACAATAAAAAAAATTAAAGAGTATTGGATATTGAACTGGCAATGCAATCAAATGTATTTTCTGAAATGGCATTCTTATATTATGTGCATGCGCGTCAACATCTTGTTTTAGGACTAGTTACCTTCTTTAGACTTTGTTTATAATAATGTAAAAAACCGGATAATCTAGCCAATGGCCTATTATTCTCAAATGTTGACAACTTATCCCGACTTATACTCGTAGAATGTTTTTCTGGATGATAAAGACTACATTTTAACCCGCCAATACGACATTTTTATGCGACATTACGACATATTTCGTCCAGTACGGATTAGCGCTTATTCCCTTCTTGGCATCAACACGGGTACAGAACGGCCCTTTTCAGTCCCTTAATTATTGAAAAGTTATGTTGGAATATGGAGCATTTAGTAACGGTTTCTGTTCATGTATTTGTATGTTCCTTAGTGATAGCCACCTGGACATCATTTCGGTTCACAAGTGACAGCCCCCCCCCCCCATATGAATTTTGTAAATTGCATCTCTGCATACAATTTTGCCACCAGGAATATATCAAATGTCTTAATAACAATCAAGTTGTCGGCCCTTTTTTCGTCAGATTTGGAAACGAGGTCATCAGTTCCTATTTTTGCAATAATCGACTAATGGTCAACAGGTCGAGGGATGGTGACCCAACTGTCGTGCAATAACTTGGCATCTTTTCGCTGTAATGAGTTGTCGTGGTATCATTGTGAAATGCAAACAGTGAACACAGCGATTTCAAGACTTTCGGCTGGCTTTTCCAAGCATGGTTTTCTTGACACAGGGAGTTCTTTTCTTCTTTACGCCGTTGGGTTGTTACCATTCACTTAATTTGAGTGTGTGTTTTTTGTCTTATTTTATATTTTTTTTATTGGGGGAGGGGGGGGGTCGTTTTGGTTTCCTATTGTGTAGTGTACACGAAATAAGGAGTGGGTTTTGTCAAAGTCAACATATTTACCTAAATAATTGATTTATCAATAATATAGATTTCGAAAAAAAAAAATATATATATATATATATATCACAACTGTCAATTAAAGCTGGTAGGTTTTTTTTGTCTTTTTATGGCCATGAAATAGCCTAGAAACTTAAAAAATAAGTGGTACCGTATGTTGGCAAAGTAAAGTTTTTGCTAATATTATGCTTAGTTCTCTGCAACTAACTTCTTATAAGTAAACCGGCTATTTACACGTGTAAAAACAATAGTTTTTGTGACTTACTTCTTAAATAATGTATTTGGATTTGTATTTTCTTCTATTTCTGTTACTAGTTTAAATTTTTCGCCATACTTGACATTTTCCCCCATCAAACATTGATCTGTCTTCATGAAACATACCATACATGTAGGTGAGATTTCTGAGTATTTGATTGGGGGAATAAAAATTCACGTGGGTAGCAATCGTGTAAGGACGAATTTTTTTCAATCTATTTTTCCTGTTTTCAGGTCAACTTTTGCTAATTCAACATGATGATCAAAACAAGGCGATATCTCAAATATTTAAAATATGGCGTTGTTATTCTTCTAATTTATACAGCCTATGCCAGGATATTTCCAACAAAGCTACCTGAACCAAATATAAAATCAGATAACACAGTGAGAACGAGACCAGTTAAAAGGCTTAAAAGAGAACCATTGTCAGATAATTCAACAGGGGCTAATCCCATATTCAACGGACAATATATATTGAATAATATCAGTATGTGCACCCAATCGGAACCTGTAAACGTCATTGTTGTTGTTCATACCGCTCCAACTCATTTCCTCCAAAGAGAAAACATTCGGGAAACATACGGTGCACGTAAATTGTTCTTGCCGACCGAAGTTCGTGTCATTTTTCTTTTAGGGCGCGTGGAAGACTTAAATCTACAACGGGGAATCGTCGACGAACATAATAAATATGGTGACATAATACAGGGAGATTTTAAAGATGCCTACCATAATCTGACGTATAAAGCTGTGATGGGTTTACATTGGGTTTCTCATTACTGTCCAGATGTTGAATACGTCATCAAGACGGATGATGACGTTATGTTTGACATGTGGAGGTTTATAAAGCAAGTGTATGCTAACATCCTGTTTATATCGAGAACGATATATGGCATAGCTCGTTTCAATGACTGTATCCCACGTTCGGGAAAGTGGACTGTGCCGTCTAATTTTCTGAGAGGTTATTCATATTATCCATTTCAATTTTGTATTGGATTTGTTCTCATAATAAGTGCTGACGTCATTCCTGACTTATATTTTGCTTCTTTTAAAGTCCCATTCTTTTGGCTGGATGATGTGTATTTGACAGGACTATTGCGGTCGGCCGCTGGTGGAATCGTAATAAAACGACATTTTGGAAATTTGATCTTAAATCCTCACTCAGCTGCACTAGATTGTTTGAAAGAAAAGTTATATACGTGTCCCTTTTTAGCCGTTTGTACCAAAAGCTTAAGTACATATAGGGAGGTGTGGGATTTGTTTAGACAAAGAAATAATGTTGTTATGAATCAAACTAACACCATCTTGTACTGATGATTATCATGAATCGCATCTGACTTGTCTATAGTTATTACTATTCCGTGTGAAAATATTGTTTACGTAAATGGCAAGCTGGCTACAGAATCTGGCTTAAATATCGGAAGGGACCTGTTTTTGTATTAGCCACTATCAGATTTAACCCATTTAAATGAGGTTTCAGGGTCTTTTTTCAGTTTTCGAGAACGTTGTAAAACTTGTTAATGAAACCGACCAAACCACTTTTGGGTTAAACGTTACTGGTTTGAAAATTTGTTTAAATTTTTTAGTCCGAAATTAGGTTATTATACCACACATTTAGCTTTAAAACTGGATATTTATTTTCAACAGAAATGAAATTAGCAGTGAAATCTGTGAAAAAGTTGCTTCTCTTTTCTGTTTATTTGCCCCACATAAACGTTTAAATGTGAAAAGCAAACACTGATATTCTCTAGTCCAGAAGCTAGCAAATTTCTAAATAACACATCTAGTTTGCAATGTTTGGGGTCTTGAATTAGTAGAAAGGTGATCGGGGTCTACAAAAACGCAACTCTTTAAGTAATACTTTTGGGGACAGAGCCTTGGGTATGGTTAACATTACGACCAAAATTTGTCTTATAACTCATATCGAGTACATCCACCAAACCTGGTAAAATATTCCTTAGTATTCCGTATGACAATAATAACCCTTCTGAGTTGTCAATTAAGGGGATTAGCCCACTAATGAATAGGTCAACGGTCACCACTTGTAAAAACACAAATGGGTTTCAACCTTTTCATTGAGACCCTCTGTGGTAATATGGATCTTTTGGGTATTAAGCTCTGTTTGAGTAGCACAAAATTTCACCGTTAGTTGGTCCCACCCAATCCACTTTAAATGAACATAGGTGTCAAACTGCTCCTTAGGACTCTCTGTGACAAAATGAATCCTTCGGAGTTGGCCCGTGGGTTGGCTTGGCAGCTTTATATTCTGCACCGCACAATCGACATACAAAACTTTATTTCGAGGAATCAATTGATTTTGGTATGGTTATAAAGTTGCCAGAACAGCTTCGTGACAATTTCACTTCAAATGCTACCAGAGATTCACTGCGGTCAAGCCATCAACCGATGCTGATAATGAGATCACCGGTCAGAATGCGCATAGGTGTTCCACAGGCACGACCAATGTATAAAATGAAATGGGGTTTAAACGTCATGCTTTTGCTTCTTTTTTTGTGAAATTTTATCTTTATCAACCTACATTTAAAGAAACAATTTATTTATCAGTGTTATTGATAAAAGCGAGTTGTTTTCGGTTTTTTTAATGCTTCTTTATAAATTCAACATATTCAACCAAAAAATTGATTTATTATAAACAATATAAATTTCGACACTTATTAAAACTGTCAATAAAACCTGTTGTTTTTTATAAGCTTCGAGTCGTGGTGAATGTAGTAATGTAGTACGGTCACTGGCATTATTTAATTAATCAAGTATTTCATGAAGATCTTCAATCTCGATTACTTAGAAGAAGGTTTAGTAATTTTTTTTATATATATACTCTTATGATATTCGACGTGTCTAATGGATTTATAATTGTTTAGTTCAAATTTATTTGTTGGATCTTGTCATTAATATTATAGTGGGAGGTAGCCCTTGCAATTAAAGTTTACATTTTGATTTGCTATTAAACTATACAGCATTGTATTGCTTGAATGGCCAGGCATTGCCTAACAATAAAAAGATACCTCGAATCCAAACTTGTGCTGAATAGAGGATATTTTTTTAAGAGAGACTTGTTTTAATTGGGCTATAAAGAAATGGGGAGAGAGAAAGTAAAATTCTTCATTGATCTGCATTTGTTGATGATGAACCCTTTAACATTTTCTTGTCTTCAGATAGTGGCTAATCAACACGATGGTCAAAATGAGATGCGCATTCGTTAAAAAACCATGCCTCAGATATGTAAAATATGGCATTTATATTCTTATCATTTATGTCTTGTGGATTCAAATTATTTCAAATTATTTTCAATATAAACTAAATTCGACAAATAGCAAAGAAAACGGCATGCTCAATGAGCGCATATTGCCAAAAAAAAATTATAAACCAGAAACCCAGTTAAAGAATAAGATTAGGCGGAGCCAAGGCACAGAGTCAGATAATCGATCTAGGCACACACTAGAAATGATCCCAGAAACTAATGATCCAGTGAGGCATAATTCAGAAATAATCCCAGAAACTAGTGATCTCATGAAGCATAATCCAGAAACTGGTAATGGTAATACCGTGAGGCATAATCCAGAAACAATCCCAGAAACTAGTGATACCGTGAGACATAACCCAGAAAAAATCCAAGAAACGGGTGATCTAGGGAGACATAATCTAGAAACAATTCAAGAAACTAGTGATCTAGCACGGCATAAACCAACGATAATATCAGATATCAATGATTCTTTGGGGAATAAACAAGAAATCGTGTCAAATATCAGTGATTCAATCAGTAATAACCCAGACATCGTTTCAAATATCAGTGATCGGATTCGGCATAAACCAAAAATAATACCAGACAATCCAATGAGACTTAATCCAATATTCAGAGGACATTATATATTGAATGATGTCAATATATGTGCTAGTCCGAAATCTGCAAACGTCATTGTTGTTGTCCATACAGCTCCTGGTCATTTTAACCGAAGACTTGACATTCGCGAAACATATGGTGCGCGTAAATTGTTCTTGCCTACCGAAGTTCGTGTCATATTTCTTCTAGGCCGCGTAGAAAACCAAACTTTGCAAGATAGAATTTTCAATGAACATTCTAAATATGGCGACACAATACAGGGCGATTTTAAAGATGCGTACCGTAATCTGACGCATAAAGCAGTGATGGGTTTACATTGGGTTTCTCATTTTTGTTCAGATGTCAAATACGTCATTAAGACGGACGATGACGCTGTGTTTGATATGTGGAGGTTTTTAAAAGAAGTGTATGCTAAAAATCTTTATGTATCTAAAACAATATATGGTATAGCGCGTTATAACGATCCTATTCCACGATCGGGAAAATGGAAAGTGTCACCCAGAAGGTTAACCGGATTTACAAATTATCAATTTCAATTTTGTATTGGCTTTGTTCTCATAATTAGTGCTGACGTCATTCCTGACTTATATCGTGCTTCTTTCAAAGTTCCATTCTTTTGGCTGGATGACGTGTATTTGACAGGAATGTTGCGATCTGCCGTTGGTGCAATTGAAATTATAAACCATAGTGGAAATTTGGCATTAACTCCTAGGGAAGACGGCCTTAGATGTTTACAAGCATTTCCTGAACAGTGTCCTTATTTAGCCGTTGGTTCCATAAATTCAAACATATATAGGGTGTTGTGGGATTTGTTTAAAAAGAGAAATGAGAAATAATAAATGTTTTAAAAGGTAATGCTGTGTTTGTAATGATGTGTATAATAATCCAGTGCAGGATATGTGACTAACAATTTATTTATTCAGAATAATAGTTTATGAACATAGAGGTTCTGACCACAGGCGTCTGTAAAGTTGGAAATCTTTAAAAAAAAAATAACAGAGTCAAATAACTCGGCTCTATTAGTACACGAACGGATCGCCCAAGTCAACTAATTAGACCGGGAGCCCAGGGGGTCAACCTAGCTGAAAAGTGTACCAATTTTCTCCTATATGGTATCAATGTGTGTATATCTGGTATCATCAGAATGTAAGTCTGCCGGGTTTCTGGTGGTGGGTGTGGTATTCCACGCCCTAAATGCCATGACCCCCAACTAGGCTAGATTAGCTCAAAAGTGTACCACACGAAAATCTTACTGCAGTGTACCGTACATCTTCAGGTATTACAAAAACACTCTGACAGACATTTCTAGTGGCGGGGTACCCCTGACAGAGCTATGTAATTGCCAGACATTTCTAGTGATGGAGTATCCCTGACAAGAGTTATCTAATTTCCAGACCAAACTAAGGCTAGATTAGCTCAAATCTGTACCAAATAAAACAGCTTTGGAGTTGTTCAGTACCACCACAGGAGTCATGAATGACCACTGCCAGACAGTTTGTGCGGTGGGTTACCCCTAACAGACACGCCCAAAATAACACGACCCCCAACTAGGATAGATTAGTCGGCACGTGCTTTCTTGTGTTATTATTGTCATAAAGTACCAAGTGGAAACAATAATTAACCCCAATTTTAGCTGTCTAGCCAAGACAGACCCCAAACACACGAAGGCAACTAGGTTAAGCTCTGTGAATAGCAATATGGTATAGTAAGATACCAAGTTTATCCTTATGACAATAAGTAGGCCAGGTAATGCCCCCAATAGACTTGATAACCAATATTACATTTGCCTGAAATATAAAGAAGTTGTATCAGTATTGTGCTTGAAAACGGCAATAGCATAGTTGTTAGAACGCAGCCCCAATTAAATACAGTAATTGTTGTCCATAGAATTGCTGTGTTTATTTTAATGTGTCCAATTATAATAAATGTCGTTTAATAAGTTTGAGTTCAAGACATGACTGTAGATTATAATTTATAAATCATAGATATTTTGTATTTGTAATAAACGTAATATATTACAGGTTCTCTGAGTTTTTAAGGTACAAGATATTATAGCGCTGCTGTCGCATAGGATAGTCTCACGACATGGTGTCATAATAGAGACTTTTGGCAAGCGTAATTTCCTGGTCCGTATCGCGTATCCGTATGGATTTTGCGTGTGACGTCATCAATGTCTGTGTATTTCTCATACGTGATACGGCACACGGATACGGCAGCACGTATGGAACGGCTTTCATACGGAAATGGTCCGTATAACACTGTCGTCTTTTTACCGTCTTTTTGCTACTTTTAGACGCTGAAATGTTGCATCATAGCCTTTTTATGAATCTATGTGTATCCTAGAACACGAAGGTGTATATTTGTTGATGTGATTTTAACAGTGATAACGACTGGAATTTAATCATTATTTTTGATGGGTTTTTCTCGGAATTTTCATATTTTTCCCGCCTGTCTGCATACTGGTTGATCTACGGGCTAAATTTTCTGAAATGATACATTGGTGAAACCAAAAATTGCTAAAATCTGCCAAAACTCTAAAACTACATTGACGCAGCGTATCACGCATACGATACGGATACGGGATACGGATGGGAAAAATCCGCTTGCCAAAAGTCTCTATTGTTTATTTTGCCTCGTGACGCAAGACTGTGTCCCAAACACGACACCAGAGTGCCACATTGTATATTTGGAAGCTCGTGACCAGGATAGTTCTGACACAGTGGTTAGTGGCATATTGTGTCCAAAATATTTTGTTAATACAAAGTTAAAACCCGGAGAGGAAAGGGAAGGGTTGTGTGTAGGATCTCCCAATACATTTCAATCCTTGCAAGATTTCATATTATTTCTCTGGATCAGAGAAGGGTTCAGACCACGGTTAGGCGCACCTGGTTACCAAAAGAAAAACCCAGACACCATACCACTAGAGCCCCTGATTTATAAACCGTACAATGACACAATGTGCCACATGGTCCATATGGTCCACAACACATATTATTCCAATATTTTACCGTAGACGATTTACCTGGTAATGGGTTGGGTTATGAAAAAACAAAAACGGCGTTGACATCATACATCAAAGACAAATAGTCTGTGAGGTGTGGCCAAGACACCTGGCATGGAGATAACCCAATCCCAACACTTAAATGTCAAAATAAATAATCCGATCAACATGAAAGAAGTCTTGTATAGAAGCGGATACGTTTACATGGTCGGTACTGTCGATGTAACTGGGAGAACGGACAAGAGGGGATCACGTGGCTAAGTGGGTAAGGCGCCGGCTCGCTAGACCTGGAGGTCGGGTGTTCGATCCCTGCATTGGCCGAGAAAGTTCATCACGATTTTCCGGCGTGGTTTTCCCTTGTCAGTGATGCAGGACGGAGGGCCTGACACGGACAGCTGTCTAGTCGTTCGGATGGGACGAAAAACCGAGGTCCCGTGTACATATTTGCGTGCACGTAAAAGATTCCTTGGCAGTTGGAATTCGATAAAAGAGTAGGCCTTAGCGCCGCTGCCCGGGCAAAATTTCCCTCATAGCACATTGTATGGCGTATGCTCGTCTTCATTAGCCCAGATTAGGAGCAGAACAGTAGGACGTTAAACCCCATTTCATTTCATTTCATTTCATTTCATTTCATTTCAGAACGGACAAGAGTGCCACAGTAAGAGTTACTGAAACTTGTGTTGCATTCATCAAACCGAGGCTGTTTAACACGAATGAAAACAAACAAACCAGAAAGTCAAACGTATCTAATGTGTATCCTTTAATATCGAGGTTATTTTATTTTAATCTTAATCCTCTAAACGCAAGTTTATGTTAGATAACCTACAATTTTTGTTTTTTGCTTTCTGATTAAATACTTTTCAGTCAATATTTCTGAAACTTTATTGTTGTACATAATTAAAGAAGCTATAGGCCTTTTTCCATTTTGCCCGTTTAAACAGCAGTTTGTAAACGAAAATAAAACGTTTAAAATATTATGTTCTATATGTTTCAGTGTATGTAAAAACTAATTTGTTTATCTCGATGACCTTTACGTGTTTTTGATTTTTTAACTTTCATTTCAGACTGTGGGTGCTCAGGAGAACTGACAAAACTGGCCGTGAGTAGCCCAGCTGGGATTGGTGTTGCGGGTACCGGTACAGGTTTTGTATGTTTCTCAACATGGTCTGACTGTGGTTGTGTTTTCAACTTTTCATTTTCCACTTCTTTATATAACTTATAGGCATTGTGTTCTTCTCTCATGATATCATCGTATAGCCGCACTCTGATGTTTTCGTCCTTAAAACGTAGCCCATAATATAGGAGATTCGCCCGGGCAGACATGTTATTAACAGTAAAAACCCACATACTCTTATACTGGCTACAGGATCCACCCATATGGACATATATCGGATCAAATTTGAGATTAAGTATTTTGGTCTCTGACTGCGATTCAATCATGTTTTTGACATCTCTGTGTGAGAAATCGCCGTTATAAAAGTTAAAACACAGAACGTTGGAATTGGGAGGAGGGAGTTCTCGGCGCATGCGAATTGTTGGAACATATTTCTTTTTTTTCCTTTTTGCAACACGTCGTTTAACCTCTTCAAACAGCGCTCGTTCTTCGACCTTTGCGATGGAAGGCGTAGAGGCTGATTTATAATTCAAAACAAAACTGGAATAATAAACAAAGAACAATTATTCTATAACAAGGTCAACTCGAAAAATTCAAATATCAGCGTACAATTTATTAGAAAAGGAACATCATCTCTCAACCCTAAGCACATCAGTGTACCTCAACGTTTTTAGCTACGTTCTAGTAGCTAACAATTTATTAGAGGGGAAACAACTCCAATTCACCAGCGAGTTACAGATCTGCAATGAGTATAAAGTAATGTCATATCAAGCTAAAATGAAAAAAATGCTTGTGGTCTGACGTTAACTCATCTTAAAAAGATAGTTTTGGGACTAACAATTGGTTATTCCTTTTAAAAAGTCCGATTTGTCGGTAATATGCTTGCACGGAGAGCACCGTGTACATTTTAATCAACATTTTAAATGGCTTACTTATTGTGTCATGCGTAAATGTGGAGCCGCGGTGGCTCTGTGGGTAAGACGCTGGCTCGCCAACCAGGTCTCGAGTTACTCCCGGCGCTGGCCGAGAAAGTTCCTCGGGATTTTCCGGCGTGGTTTCCCTTTGTCAGAGGTACAGGACGAAGCGCCTGACAAGGACAGTGTCTAGTCTTCGTATTGGACGAAAAAGTGAGGCCCCGTGTAAACCAGGGCGTGCACGTTAAAGAACATTTGCCAATTGAATAGAATTGTTATTACCATGGAACGTATATACGGTTCATTTTATTACCTAAAGGCCTACAATAGAGATCAAGTACAAAAGTATCTATTAATTGATTTGATGGCAGACATTGTCTTAAAAGACAATATTAGTGTCAGTCATTATCACATATGTGATAGAACTGGTTAAACACGTTCCAAAAATAATTTTAACACAGCGATCATTGCTACGATAGATGCGTTATGAAGATTTCCGGAAAGGGGAGTGGCGAACGCAAATGGAAAACACGAGTTTACCTTCTATATAACTGACTGATGTGACGACTGACGAGTGATGTTTTTATTAAAGATACATTATGGGAGATTAGATAACGACTTGGCAGTTCTCACTATAATAGTTAAAAACTAGATAATGTAAAAGCAATTTGCTGAAAATTTCAGTCAAATTGATCCACTATGAACCGAGAATTAAGCGATTGAATTTTCCACCTATCCTCGATCATCATTGCTAAAGTCAGTACAATAAAAAGAGCATAGTCTCGATTATCAATTTATTGATTTAATCGTGAAGGGAAGTTACGCATAAATCGGGTCATAATCCACTCAGGATCGCAGGCTAGCGATGCCATCGAGGGTTGATTATGGTACGGATAAGTTAATTAATGTCTAATTGATAATTTAGATAACATTTCAGACCTAAAGATATACCTGCAATAGGCAGATTTACCTCTTGCATAATGTATGTTTAAGTATAGAAAGAATGAAAACAAGGGAATGTACGGACTATTTCTATTACTTTTTCGAATTATCAGATATCCTCTCACAGCCTCACATAACAACTTTTGGTCTTCGAAGGAATTATTAGTGAGCAGAAATTATTCGCCCGTATATCTGTTATCACTCGTTACGCCAGTCATTTATATAGAAGGTTGCTGGAGCACGGGGGGGGGGGGGGGTGGCCGATTGGTTAGCACGTGAGCGCTGTATCATAAGGTCTGTCATTGAGTCAACTGGCGTGGTTTCGATTCCCCGGTTGTAAGTGATTAGGAGTAGGATCACCTGCCCAACCTCGTGGGTTTTCTCCGGGTCCTCCGGTTTCCTCCCACTGCTAAAGACCCCTACGCGCAAGCGAATTGTTGAAATAAAATTGAACCAATGACCTAGTTTGTGTCGAGTGAACGTTAAACCCCATTTCTCGCTCTCGTTCTCTCTAATTCTATAGAAGGATAACTCGTGTTTTCCTTTTGCGTTCGTCACTTCCCTTTCTTGAAATCTTCATAACGCATCTATCGTAGCACTAGCAGTGATCTCTGTGATAAGTGATAATGGCGGACAACTATTGTCCTTTAATATAGACTTGAATATTTCTATGTATGAAATTGCTATACTATAGATTGGTATAATTATTTCAAATGTCACACAATCTTTTTTGTATTCATATCCGTATCAATTATAATTTTCAGATCGAATAAATTCAGTTCCATTCCGTTTCTCATTAATTAAAGTCAGACAATAAAGTATTTCATTTTGTATTTAAGATTCAATCGATTTAATCAAGCATAGCACAGGGTATAAATAATTGATTTGTTATATCTTTATGTTTAAAGTGGCAGCATAGCAAGAGACTAAGCTTTATTGCCAAACCTCGATAAGGATATATTGTTTTACAATGTATAACGTTTCCACTGCAGTAAATGTGAACTGATTAGTGCGTATTGTGTGTAGAGCAGAATTTTGAAAGGTGGCGTGCTTTCCCATCGCCAACACACCCAATAGGACACTGTTCATTAAAGGTACAAGCGGGAATCCCTGTTCATTAAAGGTACAAGCGGCAATAAACCCCGCAGATAGACTCGGCACACAAAACTGCCTAGGCTATTTCAGACGAACGTAGAATAAAAGGCAAATGTAGCATTTAAGACAATTCACAATCAAATGTCAATGTGGACTACTACTCTTGATTAAATAAAAAAAAACTGGTCCAAAACATCGACCAATCTTAAAATAAATAAATGTCCATTTGAAATTTATATTATTTTCTCAATTCTACTGATTTCGAAACGCCGTCATTTTTTAGCTACCAGTATATCTGCTAACATTGAGGTCAATAATATACCACTTTCAATTGAGGTTTTCATACATGCTGAACAGTAATTGATATTTTCCCAAAAAAATTCATTCGAACATCTCATGTGAGAGCAACTCATTGAGTGCAATTAATTACAGTTGATAAATTTATAGTGGCTGTCCGAGATGCTCCTCCGATCTTCTATCATAAACCAGAAACACTCACTGTTGCACATTAGCCTTTAAACAAATAATTATTAACGTGGGAGAGTCTTATTTTATTACAACAAAAATATACCCACCTATCCATTCTACGAGGAAGTCTTGTTATTGTTGTTTGAAATATTTCTGGGTGTTGACTAACTACCGGGGCAGACGGGTGTCGTAACTGTTGAAGGCGTGATTCTTGAATTAAGGTTTTCTCTGTTCTTGATTTCCTCAAGCATGGTGTCTTTAATAAACTCGTACTTTGTTTTCTGGCCGAACAAATTTCAGAGGATTCATCCAATGTTTTATTTGATTCTGACCTAAATCCCAAATTCATGAGTTTCCTGATGCTCTGTTCAAATGCAACCGGGTCTGGAACGCGACCCAAAGGCAGTTCATCTTCCATATTCGGTTCCATATAACTAACACTCTTCTTGGACGTACACTTCTCAAGCCGAGGCAAAGCGCTTTGTTTGGGTAGTTGATCGAGCTTGCCGGCGTTAATATCGGACAATAATTGCCAACTAAAATCTCTGGTGAAGGGATCAAAAGCGAATACACCTCTACAGCCTTTATCTGTAGCTTCTGCAAACAGTTCCTTTTGTGGTGACGAACTATCCGAACGTAAATCTCTGGGTGAGCTGTCTAATAATGAAAGTTGTTCTCCGTGAAAATTTATCCTTGACACCGGGTATAGCTTATTTTCTGTATTTAGCTTTAGTTTGCTGAACTCCGGTATCGTGACGTTATCGGTATTAATTAAGATGAGAGCTTGACTTGAAGTCGGCATCTGTAGAAAAGAAAAAAAATGATTATAATCGATTCACGGCATGCGATGAAAACAGTTACGTTATAGTGACTATGACGTTATATCTTTATTACGTAGGTGTTTAAAGTACTATGGATACAGGCTGGATGATCGTAGATATTTTTCATTGACACCATAATACGTAGTGTCTGGTAATTCATCAGCGCATAATTAGCTCTAGTATAGTTGTAGCGGATATCATGAACGGGCAGTATATTCTTACTCTTACTTGACATCTGAAATAGTTCGTTACTGGGTATTAACATTTTCCCATTTTAGGAAATCCAGTTTATCTTGATTAAGTATTTCGATTTTCTGGGCGTTTTGTTGTTATTTATCACAGGCGAAACATGCGTTGCCTGTATACAATTATTTCCGACTGAGAACAGACACGAAGTTGGTCGACCGACATTTTAATTTCTGCATCGACGATAATAGTCGAAAACTATGCCTCTAGAAATTTGTGGAGTATTTATTCCCTTCTCTTTTCTGCAAATTGAAAATATTTATTATTATAATATTATTATTATTATTATTATTATTCTTTGTGGGGCAGGAATGGTGTAAAATGGATTAGAACCCCGTGGCAAAATAGTACACGGATGTTCCAAATTTTCGATCTATCATAAAGACAGCACAGATTATCTGTCGCTTTATCGAGGTCTTTGGTCGACATATTCCTTTTATAATGTACCGAAAGATAATTTGTTTAAATGACGTATGATTCTATTCTCTGGAAGGTTAAACTCGACGGAATGGGTATATGAATGTATAAAGTGATTTATATATTCAGTTCTTTAAAACTGGTAGTAATTTCTAATTTCTAATCATTGATGAACGGTGGCTAAGTGGGCAGCATTCATCCAGATTTTCCGGCGTGGTTCCCTCTTGTCAGTGATGCATTCTTAGCCCATTCTTCACTTTCTTCACGGATTGTGGTTTTTTGGGTTTTTTTTTTTCTTTTTGGGTTTTTGCGGGTGGGAGGGGGAGGGGATTAGTTAGTTTGTGCAGTTAAAACTGTACACGGTGTAAACATTCTGTCAACGTAGATGTTTTTTGCCTCCGTGGATCTATTTATTAAATATAAATTTGGTCATTTTTGACAAACAGGAAGTGTTTTACGGTTGGTCAAAAAATAATCCCAGGTTGTCCATATCTCGGTTACTTCTCAACGGATCTTCTTCGGGTTTTCATTTTTTGGATTCTTTAGACGAATCCCATATGGGCTCTGACTGACGGTTTTTCGAAATTCGGAAATTCGCTCGATTAATATTATAATCAAAGATTTGCGAAAGTTTTCTTCATCATTTTTTCGACATTCAAGATGGCGTATCTCCGTCACTATTTGAGGTATCAAGTTGAAACTTGGTACGAATAAGGAACACATCGATACCTTCATTTAATGGCCTATTCAAAAAATTTGTGACCACCTCCGGAAACTTTCGGAAATTACCGAGGCCTTCCGATTTTTCCCGAACATGAATATTTCTCTCCGTTATCATAAACAAAGTCTAAGGGAGGTAACTACTCCTAAAACAAGATGTTGATGCCCATGAAATTAATTCAAGAATGCCATTTCAGAATACACATTTGATTGCATTACCAGTTCAATATCCAACACTCTTTATTTTATTTTTTTTTTTTATTGCAAAATTTCTCTCCTCATGGGTCATATCTATTTTTTTTAAATTAATCCTAATTCGTCCTCACGATTCATGTTTGTTTATATTAATGCAAGAATTATGTGATTTATTTCGGAAAGGGGGTACAACTCTTACTTAACTTGGCCAAAGATACTGGAACCACATTAAAAACCAAACTCCCGGTTACGCATGGGCAATGGACTTTTCATCAAATATTGACAACGTCCCAGACCCTCCGTACGTCCCAGACCCTCCGTACGCTGAAGGCTAGGAGGTTCTGGGTGACCGAGACTAGACATATGGTGGTGTTAGCCCCAGATATTATCTTTCATTTTCAAAACCTTGTTTGATAACATTTTCAACCGTTTGGCCGCCATTTTGGTTTAAACTTGAAATGTATGTTTATAACCCACATATCTCGGTTCCTTTTGATATTCGCGCATATCGGGTCATCTGAATTATGGCCCCTGATTGTACGAAAAATCGCGTTTTTAGCTTGTGGACCCCATAGAGGTCACAATTTGTATCCGATTTAAAAAAAACCGTTACAATATATCACCGTTAGAGTTCGAATTTCGTAAAAATCGGACCGAAACTGACGGACAAAATGGCCGCCCCTCGTTCGCAAATACTTACAGGTACTTACAGGTCTGTTTCTGAGCGCTGGTTAGCTTATCACTATGCCCAGTTCTTCGTGTTCATCTATTTCGTAGTTGTCGTTTCCGGTTTTGAGGTTGGATTCGTAATTATATAGAATTTCTTGGTCACTCCAGAATTTGTCCAGTCTGTGTTCGAATATCTTGGTATTTTTAGCGTTGATTTCGTTTTCAGGAAGGTTATTCCACGCACTGACAATTCGGTTTGTGAAAAAGTATTTTTTGATGTCTTTATTTGGTCTTTGTTGGAACAATTTTTTTTACTATGTCCTCTGGTTTTTGATTGTGTTATTGGGTCGAGCAACGAAGGAAGCGCTGTATCATATATACCGGATGTTAATTTGAAGACTTCTATCATATCTCCCCGTTTTCTTCTGTACGCTTATGTTGGTAGTTTTAACTTTCTGAGCCTTTCCTCATATGAAAAGTCTTTAAAACCTGGAATTAGTTTTGTAGCTCTTCGTTGAACATTTTCGAGTGCTGTTATGTGTTTCCTTTTATACGGATTCCACACAGGGTTTGCGTATTCGAGATGTGGTCGCACTAGCGCTTTATATAGCATAAGGAATGTTTGTTCGTCCATGAATGTGAAGGTTCGGCGTATTAGTCCCATGATACTGTTTGACTTATTGATTTTTTCGTTCATATGGTCTTCAAAGTTTAGTAGGTTGTCAATCACAACTCCGATATCTTTTTCGTTATCTGTATACTGAAGTTCTGTATTGCATAATGAATATTTAAAATTTGGTATTGTTCTTTTTCCCAGACAGAACTTTGTATTTATCCGGGTGAAACCGCAACAACCAATTGTCAGACCAATTTTCAAGTTCTTTCATATCTCATTGTAGTCGAACATTGTCTTCTGTCGTTTTGATGTTTGTAAATACCTTTGTATCATCCGCGAACATGTAGCATTCTGAATTGATATTATCTGGTAGATCGTTAATGTAAATCACGAATAGGATGGGTCCCAGTACACTTCCTTGTGGTATGCCACTTGTAACGGAGTTTATACAGTAGTCGTTGGTGCGGTACCTTGTCGAAGGCTTTCATGAAGTCTAGGTAGATACAGTCTAGAATTCCGCCAGTGTCTAGTGTCTTTGTCCATTTCTCCAACACATGTAGGAGTTGTAATGAGGTTGAGCGTCCGGAAATAAATCCAAACTGAAAATAACTGGTTCCTCTTCATGTGACCTACAATGTGGTCACGTACCAAGGTTTCCAAAAGCTTACACAGGATACAAGTAAGGCTAACTGGTCTATAGTTGGACGCTAGCTTTCGGTTGCCCTTCTTGAATAGTGCTGTTATGCACCCTTCTCTCCATTCTTCAGGTAGCGTTTTTGTTAGTATAGGATTCTTGAATATAATTGATATTGATTTGCATAATTCCTCACCTAAATCATGGAGAAGTCTGGGGTGAATGGCATCGGGTCCCGGTGATTTGCTTATATTTAAGTCGTGTAATCTTCTTTTAACTTTATCTTCCTGTATGCACAGTTCTTCCATATTAATGTTTACTTCAATGTTTTTTTATATCTGGCTGTTCGGCACTGGTCTCTGTAGTAGATACACTGGAGAAAAAGTCTGACAAAGTGTCTGCCTTTTCTTTATCATTTTTTGTTAGTTGTTCTTCACCATCTTCATTGTGCATAACGAGGTCCGATATACCAGTTCTTGTCTTTGTTTTACTCTTGGTGTACTGCCAGAACTTCTTAGGATTCTGTTTTATGTCTTTTACTATTCCCTGTTCCTTGTTCCTAACAGCTTTCCGTGTCAACTTTTTCACTTGATTACGCACTTTACAGTATTCTTTGTATCTTTCACTGTTTCGTGTTTCCATATATCTGAACCAGCATCTGTGTTTTTTGTGTGTAGTTTGAAGTGTTTTTGGATCAATGCTCGTTTTCCCTTTCCTTTCACTAAGATTTCTAATTTTGCGTTTTGGTACGTACTTTTCCTGGATACTCATGATTGTCCCTTTAAACAGTTCCCATTGTTTGTTCACATCCTGAGTGTTTTCCATTATATCCCAGTCTGTCGTTAATAGTTCATTTTTCATTCCCGAATAATCTGCCTTGTCGTAGTAGTATTTTATTCTTTCTCGGTTCTCCTGCTGAATATAGCAATTAAAATTAAAGTTTATGATAGAGTGATCAATTTTACCTAAAGGGCTAGAGTGTCCAACATTTGTGACCATGCCCTCTTCATTTGTGAGAATAAGGTCTAATATATGTGGTTCATTGTCAGTTCTGGCACGTGTCGGTTTTGATACATGTTGGAATAGGTAGCAGTCCCTTAACTTCTCCACGAATCTAAAGTCTGTTTGGTTTTCTGAGGATGGAGTGTTCCATGTATTCCTACTTCACTTAGTAAGCTTAGTAAATTTTCGTTATTGTCATCTGTACCGCCACTGCTCCTGTAAACACATCCAACTAAGAGTTTGTCTCCCCCAACTAGTTTTATGTTCGTCCAAACGGATTCTTGGTATTTTGTTTTGAATTCAACGGGAGTGGCTTGCAAACTGTCCTTCACATATATTGCGACCCCCCTCCCCATTCTGTTGTTCAGGTTTTCACTGTACATATCATAACCTTCCATTGCTATTTCAGCTTCTACTAGGCTGTATATGTGGTTTTTTGGCTTAACTTTTGTAATACCCACTATGCTAGGATTCTT